CACTGAATCAATTAATCGTATGATTCCAACCCAAGAAATGTACAGTATCGCAGACAGCATGATCTGGCCCATCATGAGAAAGAACAATTAAAAAATGCTAGTTGGGTGTTACCTGACAGGACCTTCAGGCTACTGGGCTGAATTATTTTGATGTCATAGAATGTTTGCAAACACTCCAACTACTCAAAGTGAGCAGTCAGCAAGAAAACCATATCAGTCTAGGAAGTGAACAAATATCACAAGGTGAAAGAAAGCAGATGTAACAGTGCAGAGCAGCAAGAGAGTCAGTAGAATGAGAAATATGTGGAAGAGAGCTTATAATCAGCACTAAAAGAGGGGGAATTTAGCCAGTGACAGAACTAGGAATGCTGGCTGGAAAAATAATTATAGTTCTAAATTACTCGCCAAGAAATTCATTTCTGTTATAGGTATCTTTAAAAAAACCTCTGCTGTTTCTTAAGTAACATATAATTAATTTTGGTTTCTTTAAAAAATCCAAATGCTAAAAACTGTTAGCCCATGGCCTTCCTTTTCCCCTTCTGATTGCCCCAACGTCCATCAAGCACAAGACAACTTACATGAGCTGGTTCTTGAATCACATATTTCTCTTCCATTCAATGAGGCCACACCCTTGAAATTATACAAGCTATCTGAAAAGTTAGAGCGAGGTTTGTGTGGAGGTATTCCTGGTTAAAGTTACAATTATAATCCATTTAGTTACATTTTCACCATTAGAAAAGGGATTTCATTACAAGGAACTCATTACTTGAAAATATTGCTTCAAATTTGCATGGTATGTTAAGAAGCTGTAATCAGAGAAAAGTGTGGATGGATGCAGACAGCAGTCTGAAAGTGGGGAATGGGGTGTAAAATGTGAGGGAGCGGGGGGTTGAAAAAGAAGAAATAAAGGAAACATGACATGACACGAGTCCCTGGGAGGGAACAGTCATGTGTAGCTCACCACAAACAACAGAAGAGACTTTTGGTGGGTGGGTGGGAGGGAGGGAGGGATCCATGGACGAGTGTATGCAACATGAGCTGCAGTGTATAAAACTACAGTGGTGCCTCGCCTAACGATTGCTTCGTACAACGAAAAATTCACTTAACGATGGCTTTTTTGGAGCGATCTTGCACTTCACTTAACGATTTTCCCTATGGGCAATTTTCGCTTAACAATTTTGGGACCATGCTTCGCTTAACAATGACAGTTTTAGGTCCCCTTGTTTCGCTTAACGTTTTTTTTACAGCCCCGTTTTTGCTATTTTTAAAATATTCTAAAATGTTTAAAAAATGTTTAAAATGCTTGGAATCGTTAGTGCACCTAATAAAACCTTCGTTAACTTAATTTGGCTTTGTTCTGAGTCTTTTTGGATTTTTTGTGAATTTTTCCCCCCATTGAAATAGGCTTCAATGCATTTCAATGGGTTTCGCTTAACGTTTTTTCCTATGGGGATTTTCGCTTAAGGATGGCAATCCGTTCCAATTGGAACGGATTATCCAGTTTTCAATGCATCTCTATGGGAAATGGTGTTTCGCTTAACGATGTTTTCACATAGTGATTTTTTTGAACCAATTAAAATTGTTAAGCGAGGCACCACTGTATACTGTACAACGTCGCAGACCCTCTCTAGTGCTCCAAAGAGGAAAGCCTGGCAGAGGCTGCGTGCCAGAAACGGATGGCGAGATGTCCTTCTCCTTCCCTCCTCCACACATCCCACAGAGCCAAATCAGACTGCCACCTGAACTGTATACCAGAGAGGTCTCTAAGAAGCAGGTTGACTTCTGAGAGGCAAGGGCAGCTCACCACATTTTCGTGCTGAGAAAAGAAAGATGTGGCAGCATGCTCTGTCCCACCTATGTGATATTGTGAAGAACCTTACTTTGGCACCAATGATGGGATGGCATCCTCTACCTTTAGAGAATCACATGCTAATCCACCTTGCAGTGACACACAGCTCTCCTCTCTTAACATCTCACTGCACGCTTGCAAACTGCATAGCATGTTAGGTTATGTGCTCTTGTGCTGGAAGTGACTTATAAAGACCCTAACAGGGCTTCCAGGTTAAGTGGGAAAATTTGAGTAGTTTTACCAGCTCCACCCCACCCCCCGCTGGCAGGTTTCCGTGGCCGAGTAAAGATCTGAACCCAGGCCTCCTGAGTTCTAGTTTGTCACTCTATCCACTATATTATATTGGGTATCCAGGATATCTTACTACCCTGAAAACATCAGATTCTGCCAGATACCCTGAAGAGCTGCTGCCAGTCAGAGCTGCCAATATTGGGCTAGGTACATCAATGGTCTAACTCAGTTTAAGGCAGCTGCCTATATTTCTTTGGCCCTCCAGCATTTGCCACCTGAAACAACCATCTCAAGTGATTCAATGGTAGAGCAGGGCCTCCATAACATAGATAAGATAAACAAGTCACAGATTGATCCGTCAGATGAAAAATTAATGCCACTTCTTGGGATATGTTGTGGCAGACATCCAGGTAAACTAAGGGCCGTTCAGTTCTCAAAACTTCAAAAGAATAAATAATTCAAATTCCATGCCATGGGAAATATGAATTACGTAATCTTTATATATAGATTAAATAGATATGGCTCCACTTGTTCACTTTACACTTTAGCAAATTTAGATTACCAAAAAAATGGGTGGAAGAAAGAAGTATGATGACAGAAGTAAATGGAGAAAGAGAGAGGGAACAGGAAGGACTGGAAAGGAACTGGAATGCCATAAAGAGTGAGGGGGGAAATGAGAATCCCAAGCTGGTCGTTGAGCTTAGCATAGTCCAGTACAGTATTGAATCCATCCTTCCTTCAAGCCCCCCCCCGATCTCTAGTGTGTGACAATTTATTAATCAGGTGCAGCCAACATACTTACAAGTCTTTCTCAACAGTTACCACTAACTAAACTGGTTTAGGCTACTTGGCTTGAAAACATTTCTTTAACAGTGAACCTCTTAGCATGTCAGGGGATTTAAAGCCAATTGCTAGACTCAGCTATAGTACCCTCAACCTGGAGATGCAGTGCACACACAGTGCTAAGGGAGAGCAGAGGATCAAAATTTTTTAGATCAACAACATTAAAGTTCCAGTGCTTTTTAAAATTAAGTAAATATATATGTGTCTTATTACTACGTATAAGGATGTGGCGGCACTGTGGGTTAAACCGCAGAAGCCTCTGTGCTGCAAGGTCAAAAGACCAGCTGTCATAAGATCGAATCCACATGATGGAGTGAGCTCCCGTTGCTTGTCCCAGCTCCTGTCAACCTAGCAGTTTGAAAGCATGCAAATGTGAGTAGATAAATAGGTACCACCTCGGTGGGAAGGTAAAGGCATTCCGTGTCTAGTCACGCTGGCCACGTGACCACAGAAACTGTCTTCGGACAAACTCTGGCTCTACGGCTTGGAAATGGGGATGAGTTGTGACCCCCTAGAGTCAGACACAACTGGACTAGACATCAAGGGGAACCTTTACCTTTACCCATTAGTACATATAACTGATTCTGTTCCAGCAAGGCATACAGTGAAGCAAAGATGAGGGCATGGCCCTGAAACCTCTTCCCTAAGAATCATCCCCACTGTCACTTCTGGAATCCCACTAGGCCTGACTGATACACACTGTGAAGTCTATGTCCACTGCTGTCAGGGATATAAATATGAGAGCACACTTTTCAAAGTTCAGTACTTCCAAAAGTCCACTAACCTCAATAGGAAAATTAAATATGTACACTGACTGATACACACTGTGAAGTCTATGTCTACTGCTGTCAGCGATATAAATATGAGAGCACATTTTTCAAAGTTCAGTATTTCCAAAAGTCCACTGACCTCAATAGGAAAATTAAATATGTACTTCTATTTTCTCCCATTGCAATCAGCAAGACTTAAAAAATCCACTTAGGTTGGATTCTGTCCTTTGAAAAATAATAAGGAAACCATGTGATTGTCAGGCTATTACATCTCTCAGTCACTTCTCTCTTTGCAGCTCCAAGGTAACAGCCAGTGGAGTTAAGATTTGAGAGGTTCAAATTCTAATCCCCACACAGACATGAAACACAATGGGTGATGGAAACACAGAGGATAATATAAATAACAGTTTGTAAATACCAGAAGAAATCTCAATCACACAGCCATGATTTTAGGCCACTCTTCCATGAGAACTTAGGTGGTCAGCCCAAAGGGGGACTTATTCCAAATTCAGGTCACAACCTGCCTGCCCCCCCAGTAGTCCTATGAAATCCACTCTCCTGTGCCCCCTCTATACCATGTCACACCAAATCATGTTCTAAACATTGTTAATTTATGTCATGGGTGGGCAAAGCATGGCTCATGGTGCACACAGGCCCAAATGGATTCCCTAGCATCCTGGGAGCAGCTCCCCAAATGTTTTAATTTCCCAAGGCAATTTTGCTATGTTTTCCCCATAAGTACCTTGTCTCCTACCACATATTTTAAAATTTTAAAAAAACAGCCACTAGAGGGCATGAGGGAGCTTTTTGGTATATATTATTTTTAATTATGAAAAGTATTTTGGGAATGTATGAGGCATAGGAGTAAGTTAAGTTCTTCAAAGTCCAGGGGCTGACATGGATGGCCCTCAGACTTCTGGAGATTTCCCAGCCCTGCTATACAAGTGGAAGAGGCTGCTGAGGATTTGGAAAGGAGACGTTGTGAATTATAAGCATGTACAAACCCACACCAAACTCCCGTTTGAGGATATCCACATGTATTTCATATCAAAACAAGTGTTCCTGGTAAAGTCACTCAAGAAAGTGCACCAACCCTCCAGATACCTAAGCCACTTGGCCCATGACATATGACTTGGTGGAAACGGTGAATATTTGGACGATAAGCTAATGATCTTTTAGGCTTTTTTTGTATGTTTGAAAAGCACTCATAATTTCATGGTTTGTCTTTACTCACCGAGCTAGGCAAACTGGGGCTGCAAAAAGCAAGCACGTTCCTCTGAGAAATATTATAAGAAAACAAAATGCTCTCCAGAAGAAACAGACATCATTTTAGTGTTTAGAATTCCCGAAGAAGCCACATTTTCTCTTTCCCTCCTTGCCACCCCTTTGATTCTGTCCAACACAGTAACTATATACTACTACCAGGAAGAAGGGAAATTATTTGCTCTTGTCCAACTCCAAAAATGGTCCCTCTCCACTTTGCTGTGGCTGGCAAGACTGCTTCACGATACTGCCTGTTGTACGCAAGACCTCAGCCACAGACACCACGGCATCAACCATGGGATGGAGAATATCCCTGGTACGCTGGAGCTCTGCCTCAATCATATTGAGCTCCTTAATCCTAATTTCTCTCTCCAGCTGGCAGTCCCGGGCCCTGGCCTCTCTATCCAACTGGGCCTCCCTAGCCCGCGATTCACGATCTAGCTGAGCCTCCCGTGTTCGGGCCTCCCTGTCCAGGAGCATTTCCCTCAGCATCGCCTCACGAAACTCTCCTGCACTGATTTCGCCTCTCTCGTGAAGGGCCTCCATGGTCTCCCAGGTGCGCCGATAGTCAGTCATGATCTCATGCATCATTTCTTCATGGGACCGCCTCTTCCTCTCCCGCATGGATGCCATTCTCTCGGCTGTTGTCAGGGGGCGTCCTAGCAGGTTGTCCCGCCGGCCTCGGCCTGTGAGAACAAACAATAGATCTGGTTACGCACCTGTTTTAGAGCTTGAATATATTACTGTACTGTTTTCAGCTTTTAATATTGTGTTTTTAATTACGCAAGCCGCCTTGGGTCCTTTTAAAGGGAAATATTAATTGTATGATGTGATATCCTTCAGATGCTTCCTTAGAAAGAAAAGGCGCTGTTGAGAGAAAGTTACAGAGGGATCCTTTATTTGCCTACTCCAAGGGAGGTTCTACTAGTTCAATGTGACCTTCTCCCAGGTAAGTGCGCACAGGGTTGTGGAAAGAACCACAGTAATATACATTTTAAAGAACTTCACACACAACTATCCCTCATTTAACCAAGGATCACATTTGCCCTATTTCTGCACAATGCTGATAAAGTTTGCAGAATATTGTTTGCCACATTGTGTTTCCAATGATATTAAAACATTTGTGTGTCTACTCAGGGTTTCATCCCCCTAAATTCCATGGGTCTTATTTCTACATCAAGTCTTAAAGTGATACGTAAAATTTAAAGCAAAGCAAAGCGTGCTGGTTATATACCGCCCCATAGCGCTACAAGCACTCTACGGGCGGTTTACAATTTTTAATTATACAGGCTACACATTGCCCCCCCAGCAAGCTGGGTACTCATTTTACCGACCTCGGAAGGATAGAAGGCTGAGTCAACCTTGAGCCGGCTACCTGAGATTTGAACCCCAGGTGGTGAGCACAGTTTTAGCTGCAGTACAGCGGTTTAACCACTGCGCCACGAGGCTTAAAATTTAAGTTGATATATTGTATATTTTGAGTTTCCCCAACAGCTCTGGGTTTTCTTGTTCAGATCACAAGGTAACAGAAGACAGGAGTTTTGTTTCTCCTTTGTGAAAGTTAAAGACCACTAATATAACTGCATCTGTCATATTGTGTGAAACCTTAGTTCTGTGATATAACAATCAGCTATCATAGAAGTAAGCAAGGCAAAGGTCTCAGATATACATAATTATGGATATACACAAATACGGTTATTTAGAGATAACATGAATTGCATACGATCAATATTATTTTCTCATTTGGAGTTTATATGATCCAGCATCATAATAAATCCACAAGTAGTATCTGATATTTCTCATGAGAATGAACAAAACTGTAGGTATGGCTCATCAATTCTGACATTATAAATCTTGTGACATTAGTAACTTCAAAAAAGTATCTAAAACCAGTGCCCGTGATTATTATGTGCCATTAGTTGCAAAGCTAAGAAAAGTTCAGTTCTGCTTTGTTTTGTTTTGTTTTTAGTAATATCTGCCCCCAAACCCCTCCTGGCTGGCTAGCCATTGCCCACGCTAACTGGGGAATTCTGGGAAGCTGTCATCCAAAACATCACTTTTCAAAGTTTTGATTGTTACACTTGTATGTGTCAGGTGGTTTCATAAATACCTCTTCCACCAGAAGTGCATGTGTTGCAGGAGAACCAAGGAATGGGAGCAAATCTGGAATGTATACACTTCACCAGTATTTTAAACAAAATTTTATTTTGTGTTTGGTAAATTTCCCCCCTTCTCCTCCATTCACTCTGCCCTTCCTGCCCCTTTCCTGGTCCTTTTCTATCTGAGGGGCAGCATATCCCACATCCCCCATCAATTTGCCAGGTCAGAGCCAAGAGGTCTAGGAGCAGATGCTGATTGGATGTTTTGCTAAAGACCTCTGTAGCCTCACCAACCAGACACAGCCAAGACTTCCCGATCCCCACTAAATCATCCCCACCTGCCTTTTTTTTTTTTTACTGAAATTGCCTGAAACTAAGCACATGATGGCATATGGATCTCCTGGCAACCCCAAGGTGGTGTGCCCAACATCGAACCTTAGCCAGATTTCTTTTCCGAAACCAATTTCAAGTCCTAAGGTCTGCCTAATCCACAGTTCCTCTAAGAGCGCAGATGAGGCCAGGACATTTATATTGTGAGACCCCATCATTGACTGGGAGGAAGGCTGCAAAGTATTTTAATGTAATTAATGGTATATTTTAAAAACATTTTTTTAATCCATGGAAGTCATAACCCTCATGCACCCATGGCTAAGGTGAGCCTTCCCCAACGTAAGGCCCAGACCAAATGGCGCTGCTGGTCTCCCTCTCAGAGGTCTCTGCTAATCGGGACGTCTAAACATGAGAAAACTCAGACTATATACCTCCTTTCCCTGTCCCAAGAACAGTGCTGGATATAGACACAAGCTAAGCAAGATACAATTCATAGCCCCAAAGGCCACTCTCAACTACCAAGAAACTAAATTTATTATCTATTTTAGTGGCCCTCTGTGCCATTGCCCTTTTTCTCAGTAATGCTATAAGGACTCCAACATTTGACACAGCATGAGCCTCTACGTGTCTTCCTCTGGCTCTTTCCAAGGGCCAATATCCATTCCATTTGACATCCCAGAACCAAATTTTCTGAGAAGGCAACCAGCCAAGGGGACCCACAAAAGCTCATCACAGTTACCAGGCACTTCCTCACCAGTAACAGTATGGTGTCCATCTTCACTGGGACCAGCAATTGGTTGTCTGCACAAGTGCCCTGTTTTGAGTTCGATACCTTCCTCTCCGATGGTGGTTTCAATCACATCCGGGTCCACGGCCACCAGATCTCGGGAGATCCCCAAATTTGGCTCTGTTTCAGTATCGGTATCAGCATCCATGCTCGAGAGGGTGTTTGGTGGGGTCATTTGGTTGCCCTCTTCCTCTGAGACTTGAGCCTCCATGTCTTCAGCATCCTCAGTTTTCACGACGACGCGCATGGACCCATCCATGTTTGACAGGCTTCGGTTATTCGCAGCCCCGTCCATTTCACCACCAAACATCTGATCCAACTCTCGAAAGTAGCGACAAGAAACGGGCTCGGCTCCGGCACATACTTGCGCATCTTTTGCCCGCCGATAACTCCGCTTCAGATCCCGGGCCCTGTTTCTACATTGCGAAGCATTGCGTTCGTGACCTCTGGCCATCATCTGTGCCGAGAGGTCCTCATAGATATCACTGTTAGGTGGCCGGTTTTCAATCCACCTTAGAATCAGGAGTTCACCCCAGAGGGCCAGGAAATCACGGGTTTCCGTTTCTGACCACACCGGCGCCCGAGGCTGCAAGCGTTGGCGTGGGGTATGTGGCATGTCTGTTTTGCCCTAGTCCAACACAGGCCAGCCCCAAAGTCCAAAAAGGCTCCAGATCTCTAGATCTCTTTACACTGCCAAAACTTTCCTCAGAAGACCTGGAAGCTACCTTTGCAAGGAAATCACACACACAGAGTCTGCTTAGAAAAGAAGGGGACAAAAAAAAGCCAGCCAAGATGGAACCTTTGGCACCAGCGAGTGTTCACATGAACAGTTGTTAGTCAGTAGTAATGTCGTGGGCGGGGCATGGAGAAAGGGGTCCGGGCAGACATCTGCCGTGGCCAATCGCCACCCGGAACGTCACATCCATCAACCCCCAGAATGGTTCTTTTCGAGGAAGGGTGGAAGCAGCCACACCGCGGCCCAATGGGCAAGGCGGAGAGGCGGAGGCGGCTCCTCGCAAGCAAGGGATCCACCCTGCCTTTGCAGACAGGAAGAGGAAGGCAGTTCGAGCAGCCACGGCTCTCCACACACACACATACACCCTTTTGGCCCGGCGGCGGCTCCGGCTTGTCTTTTGCATCCTCCCAGCGGGGTAGCCCTAGCCTGGGCCGTCTCTCCCTCTCGCCCGCAGAGAGCGACCACCTTCCACACAGGGCATCTTGCCCTGTGGGATGCATGGCGGGCATACCTCCCGTCTCCGCTTGATCTCCCCAGATCTCCCTGGACCTCGGTTGCCTTTATAAAACCCTCGTCACCTTTTCTCCCAGCGGGGGAAAGGGGCGAGTCCCTTGGTTCACACAACAGATTGCTGCCACTGACCTTGGAGGGCCGCTGGAAACTCGGCAAGCGCGGTCTCTGTTCTCCCTCTGCTGGTCCCGTTCAAGAATCGCAGCACCGCAACGTGGGCAAAGGGACACACACACACACAAACACACACCCCCGGTGCTGGTTTTTAACTACAACGTTTAGCGAAAGAGCATCCAAGGAGCTCGCGACATTTTGGCGGTTGGGAAGAGAACAGAAAATAAAAGAGGCTGAAGAGCAGAGAAAACATGGAGGACGGGGTGGGAGAGAGAGAGCTGCATGAGGCCGGGCAGAAAGAATTAGGAACAGCACAAGAAATTGGGAGAGAAGGGCTGGCATGTTATGTATTTAGGCTGAATCGTCTTTATAGCCTGCTTTTCTTCCAGTACAGTACATTCAAGGCTGCTAACCCTTTATTTTCACAACAAGCCCCAGTGAGGTGGGGCAGGGCGGAGGAAGAGAATGACAGAAAGGAAAGGTTGGGGCCAGAGTCACAAAGTGGGTTGTAGGGCTCCCTGTGGACCAAAATCGTTAAATGACAAAGTCCCAGTGCAGCACTCTTAACCACAACATCACACTTCTTCACACTGATACTGATTAGATGCTGTGAACATGCCACTAGGACGAAGCAACGGAGATAAGGAGAAGATGCTAATATGAAACCATTGGAGTGGGTTGGAGTGCTGTTCAAGAGGCCTGAATCTGATCTTTCATTGGAGTGGGTTGGAGTGCTGTTCAAGAGTCCTAGCCTGAATCTGATCTTAGTCTCACACCTGGGGTTGACAGCTGCTGCCTTTTCAGGCTTCTGCTCTTCTCCTTAATAAATAAATTCCAAACAATTATTTCTCCTGACATCATGCCTAATTTGGGCCTACAAGCCTTATTGGGGTGATGCCTTTCTTAGGCTAACCAAGAAACATTTTATCAGGTTGGCCTAATAAGATATCACACCAATACTGTATAGACTTTGGGATTTCTTTCGTGCCACCACAGCTATTCCTATTTTTTGTTTTGACCCAGAGGAGGTGTTAATAAAATTTGCTAATTCTTGTTCTCCAAGCCTTCTAGCAGATTTTAGAAACATGGTGTTCTCAAAGAAGTAGCTCTGTTAGTCTGTGCAAGCATATCAGAGAAAAACCGAAAACAAACCAACAACAACTAAAACACAAAAACACAGTGGCAATTGTCTGTATTTCTGTGTGGTCATGGAGCCATATATAAATAATGACAGCCATACAGTTTCATGCTTATATCTGAAGAAGTGGACTTGATTCACAAAAACCCACACTAGAATATAGCAATTAGTCTTGAAAGTGCCACAGTATTTTTGGCACTTGATTTTTTGTTTCTATTCTGTTTAGAAAATAAAGAGCATAGCAATAAGGACTGATAGTTGGATAGCTAGGGAAAGCCTCTCTCTAAAATAGTGTGACCTAGTTCCTATGTCTTACTGCAGTGGTTCCCAACCTTGGGTCTGCCAATGTTCTTGGACTACAACTCCCAGACTGTTCCACAGTGTTGTGACATAGAGAAGGCTAGCTTAAGTATCTAGACTGTTCCACAGTGTTGTGACATAGAGAGGGCTAGCTTAAGTATCTTGAAGCCTGAAGCTTGGATAGGATCATATGCGAGAATGTCGTCTTTCAAACAGCCTGATCCCAAGCTGTGTGTAGATTTACAGCACTTTGAACTATACCTGGAAACACATTGGTAGCCAGTTAAGGTCTAGTAACAGGGCAGTCGTACAGTCTGTAAGAAGCCCTGGACAAACAGTATAACTGAAACGTTCATATCCAGTGTTTAGAAGTAACTGAGGTATGTATCATTATAACCAGGTGTGACATCTCCTGCCTCCTGAGTGCATGTATAATATAATTAGATGTGCTATGATTCATCTAACCAATTCATTTTAATTATATATCTAGCGAAACTAAAGCACTGTTTAGTCGTAAGATTTCACCGTCCCACGGTGTCTGTAGATGAAGATCACGGGAATTTAGTCAGTCTTGGAAGAAAGCTTGCCCGCGAAATTACAATTTCGGATTTAAAATTTTAAAAAAGAACCCTAAGAAGTCCCACACTTGACTGGCCCCTCATGAATACAGGTACGCTGGCTGCCCGGGCAGAGGGGAGAGGGAACTAAGGGCAGCGAGTGAGGGCACGAGAAGGCGAGAAGCTTCGTTCGGTGCCTCTGAGCGCGCTCGCTAGGAACCGCGCATGCCCAGTGACATCAAGGCGTGGCTTTCTGACAAATCGGGAGTGCGTGCGATGATCCATTGAGGGGGCAGCGTCATGTGAGTACGGGAGTTGCGGGATGGTTTGGAATCGGGAGTGCGTGCGATGATCCATTGAGCGGGCCGCGTCATGTGAGTACGGGAGTTGAGGGATGGTTTGGGCCTCGGCCGGCGGGGGCGAGAGGCGGGGAAGAGGAAGCCTTGACGGGTGGGGAA